AAGCAATTCTCATGTCTCAGCCTCCTGAGTAGCTGGGATTACAGGCATGTGCCACCACGCCCAGCACATTTTTTGCATTTTTAGTAGAGATGGGGTTTCACCATGTTGGCCAGGATGATCTTGAACTCCCGACCTCAGGTGATCCACCCACCTCAGCTTCCCAAAGTGCTGGGATTACAGGTATGAGCCGCCATGCAAACAGCCTCATTTTAAAGTTTTTTAAGCTGTTGAAGTCTCCTTTGTCAAAGATAGAATGTGGAACTTTGGTTTTGTTTTTCACTTTATTCATAAAGCTATTCCATAGCCCATCTGATCGATTCAAAATGGGGTTAACAGTGAGAAATTAATGACTGCAGATGGGATGTCTAAAAGAGAGCTAATAGGAGAGGCCTAGGAGGAGGAGGAGAGATGGACAAATGAGGGATGCTGGAAGATTAACAGAGACCCCTGCTACTTCTAACAACGTCGTTCTGCAAAAATAAAATAAAATAAAAATCTTAGAAAATGTTCTTCATGCCTACAACATAGCATGGATCAAGCAATTTGTGATCTCAGTATCTGTAAAGAATGACTCTATATTTATTTTTCTTACAAGCATTGCATATGTGGGTATATGCAAATATATAGACAGGCAAAAATAGAAAGGTATATCTGCACACACAAATATATGAGTGTATGTGCGCGCGCACATGTGTGTGCACACAGGCATTTGAGCTCGAGTGCATGCACTCATCTGAAATAAAAGAATACAGGAATAAAGGGACTATGACATCGAATTGATTAGCAGCACTGGGCGTCATTCCTGCCAAGCCCATCCCAAGGCCAAACTAGAGCCTATTATTTTAGATCTTGGGGAAATTAAGCAGGCACAGACTTAAGAAAACATAGGCTGTGGTTAACTTTCCACTTCTTTCTACTAAGAGTGGATGACCAAGCATTTTTGCGACATTAGTCCTCTCTTGCTATCCCTTAGTTAGCTCATGAGAAAATAAGGTGTAAAACTAAACTATCCAAGGTATGAAGCCATCCCTGCCCAACTTAATGAGCAACTAACTAATCCAAAAGGAAAATAGCCATTACTTACACAGCCATAATGTAGATGCAACATGGCATATAAATCAGTAACTCTTGTATTGCAAAACAGACAAATAGATTAATGCATGTTGCAAAGGATGGGTGAAGAGATCGATTAGGTTACTGATTCAGACCATGAACTTTCTCTCAATATACTGCATTTAACTTTTAAATAAGGTTTAGGAGAACCTGTAACATTTTGCTCACTGACAGAGCTATATTTTACTAAGGGCAGAAATTGGCTAGTCTATAAAAATTAAATTATGCCCCTTTCACTGTATCTAGTCAAGAGGAAAAACTCTAATTACAAGATTGCACTGTCAAACAAATGCAAATGCACATTCTTTATTCCCTGGTTTCAAAATTCATACTAGAGGGGGCTTCTATTCTGAAATGAAAATCAATATTTGAAATATTTTGCAGAGTACAATGACAAGCAAGAGCAAAAGAAGTGTCATTATCAAGGGTGCTAGTAAATAGACACCAACTCATTAAGTGCAGAGCTGGTGAGAACAAGTCATTCGTTATGCAAATATTTAAATATCAATTAGTAAGGACAATGAAAGAAGTTGAAGTGAACCTTCCCTTCCCCACAGCCAGTAACTTATTATTCCAGAAATGACCAAACGGAACAAGAGTGGTGGATAATAATCTCAGCACCTAATAGGAATGCCACTCTGGGGAATAGGTAAAGGTTAATTTCAAACGTACTTCCCAGTCGAAAATTAAATCTACCTGCCTCAAAATTCATAAGAGCTGAGTTTGCAGACTTAGTCCAGAAACTGAAGGCCTACACATATTGCACGGCTGCTATTTTTTGGAAAGAGAACACCTTTCATTACTGCTTAATGTCAGACTGGCTTAGTTCATTAAATTTTCTTAGTTGATTTAAAGCCCTGGTTTTTCTATACCTATGAAAAAATGCCAGTCCACACAGTGCTCAAACTTAAAAGTCTCACTGGTTGGTTCTCAGATTCTTGACAATCCACTTCATGGCCTGTCTACCTGGACTGTTAGGTGAACTTGGTGGATATGAAAAATGGTCTAAACTCTTTGAACTTTGCCTGGACTATCTTTTCGGGCAGACCTGGCAGGATATTTTACGACATGCTGGCTGTGTTGTATTACAGCAAAGGTGCTGGCCAGGGAAGCAGGCTTCAAGCGCCTCTTAGTAACAGCTGGCTAGTGAACTTGGACCAGCATCTAATTTTTCTGGACCTTGCTGTCTTCCTCTATAACACAAAAAGGTTTGTCCCCAGATCAGTTCTCAACTCGGGTCACCCCAGAATCACTGGGAAGTTTATAAAAGACCCATGGCCAGATATACCACAGATTTATGAAACGGGCTTCTTTACGCAGAGACCCAGCCATGTGGAGTTGAACAAAACTCCCAGCAAGATTCCAACATGCATCTTTAACTAGGAGTCGCTGGGCCCTTTCAGCTCCAGTATGCTGAGATTCTCAGGATAACATACGTGATTGATCAAACTTAAAAGAAATTCTGACTTCTATTCTTAATAGCATCATTTAACAGGCATTACTTTCTCTGGAGTGGAGATGTTGACCATGTAATAGAATTACATGCTGACTGGCTGTGGCATGAGGAAACAAGATCTTGAAAGATGACCACCAGATTTCACAAGATTCTATATGTACAATCAAAAGAGAAAAGTCAGATGCCTCGGGCGCTCAACAAAAGTTAGCTCTTGTTACTATGATGATTATATTACAACTGTGTTCACTTAGAGTTTTAGATTTGCTCTCTATCCTTGTTGGCAAAAAATTAAATTGGTCCCTAATAAGTACATGGACATCAAAATGGAAGTGCCTTGGAGGTATGAGCCCCCCCTGGACATTGCTCTTTTGATGCAGAAACAGATCCGTTTGGCTTGTTTCTATGGAGTTTAGGCTTAGAACGCCTTGCTTCCATGTGCACACACCCCGACCTAGCACCCTTCCCTTCATAACCTTTTCCTTTGAGTTCGTCAACTGCTTCTGTTTATCAAACTTCACAATTGAAACTGCCTTATTGATTCTGTCTCCACCTGTTGGGCTGTGACCTGTGGCCTGAGGGACCTGGTTTGGAGACAAGATGCCCACCTTCTCCGAGCTTACAGATAACCAGCAACCTTAGGCCAGGCACGTGAAGACTAAGTTTCTGTGGATAAAATGGAAGTTAAAATGCCTCCTCTGCTTCTTTTAGAGTGGTTTGGAGGACAGAATGAAGCAAGATGAAAAACAGCACTTTGAAAATGGAGTGTGTGGTATTCATCTTAGACACACTTTTACAGAAGAAGAAATGTCTCTCAGAAAAAGAACCTCTCTGACTCACATTTAGCTTACATCCCTTTCTCGACCATATCCTAGGTGATAAAACAGGACACGCAGGTAAGCAGTGGCCGTGTGGACTCTGAAGTTCTTAACGTGTCCATAGTACATTCTCATTTTGTCTGGCTCTAAACTACTGTCTCAAGAAAGCTGCAAATATTTGAACGTAACAATAAAGTGTTAACAGTAATTCTGACTAAAATCACAGCAGTCCCTCTGGTAGAAAGGCAGTAAATTTTTTGCTCAGGTAAAACATAGGAAAGAAACACAAGTAGAAAAAAAACCCCATTTGTTCAAATTATCCCTATCAATCTTAACTGAAGAATTATTGCCAAGTTTGTTTTGTTTTGCATTATTAATAGCCCAAATCCCGTGTGCCAAAATGATGTTTACTCCATTTCTTGGGACAAGTTACCCTTGAGAGCCAGTATGTCTCAGGCTTCCCAGAAGAGTGATTTTGGTGCAACAAATAATGACCTATAAAATCAGCCCTCACAACTACACACACACCACAACACAGCACGGTGACAAGCTGGCATCTGCTTTCCACATAACCATGAGGATAGCAATATGACATTTCCAGGCCCTTCTCTGAGAAGAAACAACTTTCCCAAGCTGTTGGCTTTAAAACTAGAGTCCTTGCATTGATTTGCCAGTGGGTAAAGGGAATCATATAACAGTTCTAATCACTTCGCCGGGTTCTGCAGGCAGTTCACAGAACTAAAGGGAAGTGGGGGCTTTGGCTCATTCAATATCAGCCATAAAGTTATGCTGTTTCCCATCTTTTCAATATCCTTAAAATGGCAACGTCTGTTTATGGTTTTGACCTTGAAACTGAAGTAACAGCTCCACCTGTTTTCCCAAAGTTCCAGTTATAATTTGGGGAACTTTGAGTTCTAATAAGACAGCTGGGGTAGGGGGTTGGGGGACGGTTGGAAAGTTCTACCTCAGCGAGAAGACCCTTGGTCAGCTAGAGGGAGTAAGGGCTAGCCCACAAGACCCCTTCGTCCGTCCACAAGATGCTCAGGCCCTCTTCTCAGCCAGCCGGCAGCTAAACTGGTAGGGCTGAGAACGGCATTCCTTTGAAAGATCTTGGCAATTTGTGCCTGGAAGTTGATGCATTAGTTCTAAAATTAAATAAAGATCCTGTAGTGTTCTTCAAGGAAATATGGTGTGCCTCTATGACAAAACACATTTTTCAAGCTCTGACCTCTGGGAACTTCAACTAGCTCCATATTTCAGGCTGACAATGCTCACAGGCTACTGTCTAGTTGCCTAAGCCGGGGCTGGTTAGCCATATATTTTCTATCTCCATCAGCTTTCAGCATAGGGAGGTGAAGAGAGTAAATAAAAAGAGGAGAGCCACTAATTTAAATGCACTTCCCCTCCCAAGACCCTTGGGGAGAAGCCCTGGTAATTAATGAGATTAAAGTAACTTGGAACTCTTCATTTTCCCAGCACTGTAAAAGTAAATCTGCGATAACCAGTGTGTGGGCATTAAATCAAAGTCAGTCCTTTTTCCTGTTATTTAATGGCCCCCTCACTCCCACCCCAGAGCCCAGGCTTAAGAGCGACGGGGAGGGCTGCCAGGTTCTTACCGGCACTTTGCTCCATCACTTCTTTCTGACACATGTCTTGAACGTTCACCGTGCAATTCACGATGAACTCAGGGGAGGAGCAGTCGTTGTTCAGCTGGAATTCTTCACACTGGTAGCACTGGATTTGCAGCGCAAAGCCTGCGAGACAGACGCAGTCGGGTTCAGATCCGGCCCCCACAGAGCCCACCCCGGAAATCACGACCATCCCATACCCTAGAGCGCGGCGGCTCCCGGCCTCTGGGAGGCTTGGGACTCTGCACTCCTGGGTCTCCGGGTAGGGCCAGATGTGGCTGAAACCGGCAGGGGGCGGCGCCGGTACCTAGGGTCCTTTAGGACAAAATGGAATAGTGCCCGCCACCTCTGGACCCCGGTTCTAGACACGAAGAGCCCATTCAACACCACCCCAGGCCTTTTCCCAAGAAGTTGAAAGGAGGGTGGGGATGGTACCACCCGAAGAGCAAAGTAGCTCTGGAGACGTGCGTTAGCTCCAGCCAAAGCCAAAGGATTTGCCTAATTGCTAATTGGTTACAAATTACTTAATTACTATTTTGGCACCATTCGTGATTACATTCGCAGACGTCTTTTCAGTTTTTATTTATTTAATTTTTAAAGTCAGCGTTTCTGTGCCAGGGCTCTGAGGATCCCTGAGCGACCACCTGGGAACAAGGGTGGAGGTGCCAGACGCCAAGTGCTGTTGCGCCGCAAGTCCCCGAGCCCGGGTCTGCGGCCCTTCTCCAGGGCCGTCCCCGCGGCGACCCGGGTGGCCACAGAGGGTGGGAGAGGGCGTTTGTGAGCGCGCGCACCCTGGATCCCGACCCCGCGGACCTTTCTTCCAGGCCCCGGCTCTCAGGGCAACCGTTCGGCTAGGGTGGGTGGTCGGGGTCCCAGCTCTGCAGAGCTTAGTCGGGAGCCAGTAGGCGAACTGGAGAGAGGACGCGAGACCTTTGCGCCTCTGGTGGCTTCAGCCTGGCTGTTCTCGGTGTACGCGCTCCTGTCTAGACCCAGCTGCCCGCGCTCCCGCTGCCCCACATCTATCACACTCCGAGCGCAGCAACCCAGCTTCAGCGCGGCCGCAGGCTGCCTAGCGCGAGGCTCACCTGTCGGCGGCGCCACTCTCACGGGGTGCCGGAGGCGCCAGACAACTTGGCGGGGTTCGGGAGATGTCGCCCCCTCTCCCTCGCCGAGACCTCAGCACGGCTCGGACCCTCCCTCCTCCCAAGCCCAGCTTCTGCCGACCGTGCAGCCCGAGAAGCTGTAGCCCGGAGTCCGGCGAACCCGCCGCTCCCGGCTCTCCTCCTGCAGCGCGGGACTTGGACACTTTCCCAGCCTCGCGCCCCGGGGCACCAGTCGCCGCCGCCCAACTCCCGCTGGGCAGCCCCAGGGCAGGGCTGGCCCCGAGGTGGGCGCCTTGGGGGCAAAAGGGCTGGCTGGTAGATGGACTGTGCGCACCTGGCGCCGGCTGCTGGCCTCTGGGCATTCTCACCTGGAAGCAAGAACAATCCGCAAAAAGTTGCCGCGATGCCTAGGACCCACATTCTCCCGGAGTCCCGGGACCGGGAGCGGGTAGGCGCATCAGAGGAGGCGACCGCAGCGGAGGCTGCCCCGGCTGCAGCGGCTGTGGCTGCCGAGGCTGCTGTGGCCCACGCTGCTGCCGCCGAGACGACGGTCGTAGCTTAGAGGAGCCGCAGGTGCCGCTCGCGGCGCCTGCATCGCCCGCGCTCCGGCTCCTGGCTGCGGGTCTCCGCTCCTCCCGCTCGCGCTGCCGGGCCGAGCACCGCGCCTCCGGAGTTGGCGGCTGAGACTGAAGGAACTACTGGCGATCCGGAGCACCCACAAAAGTCTCGCCTTTTCTCCCCACCTCCCACTCCAGGCACCACGTGACGGCTGCCGAGTTGGGGTGGGGGTGGCGGGCGGGGAAAGCTGGGACCGTCTCTCTACATCCCCACCCCCTTCCTGTCTTCCTCTTCTCCCGCCTCCGCACGTTCCTGGGAAAGGGGCGCCGGGGGGGCGGGAGAGGACTGGTAGTTTTCTGAGGTGAAGAGGCTGGAGATTGGGGGAGCGGCGGGGAGGGCGCAGCAGGTGCCGTGGGGACCTGCCGGGTGCGGACTAGGGTCTGAGGACTGCGTGCCCGGCTGGCCCTTCGCATATAGGGACGCGGCCTCCCCACTCCACGTCCTCTGCGCCTTCCAGGACTGGTCAGTACCCCCAGCGACTGGGTCCAGCCCACACCGCTGAGGCGGTCCCACTGCGGGCCGCTGGAGCCTGGCGCCCCGGGAGGCTGACAGGAGGGGCGCACGTTCCCGTGCGCCTGGCAAAGTTCCACGCTCGCAGGCTCCCTAGGGTGTCCTGTGCAGCTGTGCCCCCTCTTCCTCCGAGGCCTTCTGTCAAGAACCAGCTCGGCATGGCCAGTCTGGATGGGGGTGTGGTGGGGACACTGCCTTGACTGTCGCACTTGCCCGGGCCGCCCTCCCTTCTCCCGCCTGCGCGCACCGCTGGAGGGTGCGTTGACACCGCGCTGGTCGCCTAACCTAGGAGAACGCCGTCCCGGTGACACCTGCCGTGAGGTCCCCACCAGAAAGCAAATCAGGGTAAAGAAGAGGGTTGCTCTCCTCCATTCCTTGTCGCCAAAACGCCGACCGGCTCCATCCTGTTTTCTCCAAAGCCACCGATTATTAGTACATACTCCCACGTCCTCTCCCGGAAGGCCATCCCAGCCTCGGACTCGGCCTCTGGCTTCTCCCCACACCCCTGAAATTCCAATTCTTTCCGCAAAGTCCAAGTGACCCACCTTGCGTACTCCCGGGGATGCCCCGGTGCTATCATCGCCTTTCTTCCCGAGCCTTGCAGCAGGTGTTGCGGGAGACCGCTTGCCCGCCGGAGTGCGTTGGTGCCCCCGCCCCCAATCCGCACATTCCCACCCCCTTTCCCCACATCCTTAGGGAGCGTCCATTTCCGTGGAAATCGCCTCCTAAGCTTTGCCCCTTTTCACCCTTTTCTCCCGCGGCCACTTCTTGGGGCAGCTCTCTCCGGCCGGGACGCTGATCATTTATTTCTGCATCCTCCCAGCTGAGCTGGTCTGGAAAGGAGCTTAAATGACTTGCTTTGTAATTCCTCTGCAGAGATCGCTCCATGTCTGCCTCGGGCTCCTTCTCTCCCTCCCTCCCCCCTTCTTTCATTTCTATTTGGTTAACCCCTCGGGGAGACTGAACTGCTTTGACCATTACTCACCTGTCTGCAGACTCTGATCTTACAATTGGCTAAATTACTATCTCTAGGGCAAAAGGGCCAGTTCATTTATTCCTTCGGGGAACCCATCGGAAGAGCACGTGTGAGTCATGATTCAAGTAACTGACTGGGCCAAAAGGTCCTTGAGCAAGTTATTTTCAGTTTTCAGAGGGTGCAATTGTGATATAACTTTTATTCAGAAAGGAAACAAAAGGATTTTTTAAAGTCTGAAAGACAAAGACATTTTACATAATTTTCATTTAAGATAAAACAAATTGCACAAATTAACCAAATAACACTGATCATACAATACTCTTTAAAGAAACAATTATGTGCTAAAGTAGCCATATAGATCCTAAAAATATTTCTATTGTGCCTAGTTTACAAGCTCCTGTACATAAGCAATTATAAATAGTTCACATCTAGAAAAAATACACATAACCTTTAAAATAGAATTTATCCTTACATATAAACAGTCTTTGTAGAAAAAAAGGATATTAAAAAGAATTCTTCGTAGCACCATTAATTTTATTTTTAAAAGTGAACACTGCAAATAGAAATTTGCTTTCATTTTTAGAGTGCCCAGATTTTAATAAAAAGAGCAAGAAGATAAAAATCAAATAACAGGATCATAGAGAAGCACTAAGTAGAAGACAATCTAAAGAAATGTCTGGAAGGAAAAACTGTTATTGGGAATAAAATTCGGTCATTTCTGATACAATGACACAGTCCCAATCAGTGTCCACACTTTAGGACCCTTTTCATTTTTCAGCAGAAGCAGAATTACACTGATTACTGTCACCTGAATCTCTGGCAACGAATCTGAAATTGCACTAAAATGAACATTTCTATCAAATTGAGATTTATGAGATGGAGATGAGGAGGAAAGAACCCTCTAGTTTTTTGGCAGGCCCTGTTGTAGGTTTACAGAGTGTACCCACAAACAATATGAGGACCAGGACAATGAACATCACGAAAACTTCAGTTGGGATTTTAAAAAATATATATTATCATCAACTTCTAAGACTTAGTACATTATTTCAAGAGCATGGCGCTGATTCCATTTATTGCTGTCTTTTTTTTTTTTTTTTTTGCTACAAATATAATTTCTCTTCCAAAAAATTTACAACTTCTGTACAAATATTCAAAAAAAGTGCAAAATTAAGGATTCTGTATCATAGGTGTGTTTACGCTTAATCCTCTTGAAACACAATAAATGGAGTCTATCTTTATTGCCCTGTCAGAGATATGAGCTCTGGTGGGTTGCCTGCTGTGAATTTGACAATGAAGGTTCTGGTACTGCAATAGTTTATTATTGTCATCTCTACCAAGCAGCGCACCCCCGCCACCCCCCCGCCCTCATTTCTTAAGCGCTCCAGTCCCAGCTCACTAAGGGAAGAGAAGTCCTTTATACATCATTTGAACCCTGACTGGCACAGGAAGAGAAGCTATCATATAAAGAATCACTCAGAGATTCCAAGTTGTCTACCCCAGGCCTATCTGAACTACTCAAGGATGTCTCTTCATTTTTTTCTTTTTCTTCCTTCTGTCCTTCAACCTTGTTCAGAGAGTTCTTCTCTTTTTCTAATAAAATCACAGTATTGCTGTGAAATTTATTGAATGACTCCAGGGAAATTTTCGATAATCTATTCTCGGGATCGTCTTTTGTTTCTTCAAGTTGTTTCAATTTCTGCAATAAAAAGAAGAAAATATTAGAAACATATTTCTTTGGAAAATCAAGTTATTCTATCTAATATTCAATTATTGTCTGTACAAAGTACAGTTTAAAGGGATAGAGAAAACCTACAAGTCTTTAACAATCTTCTAGTATAATTAAATGTAATAATAAAGCCAATTTTAGGGATAAATCAGGACTTTAATCATTTTACTGAGATAAATAGGTCCCAATTTGCAAACCAGTTAAGTGCCACTTAATTTCATTTTAAATGGATCCATTTGAAATTTGTTCAGGTAAAGTGCCTTATTTTTCTTCATCAAAGTTTCAAACTCCTCTCTTTCCTTGCTAACTATTAGTTGTACTTTTTCTGAATATGAGTAGGGATTGAATTTCAGCCAGAAGTTATGGTAATTTTTTTTTTTTTTTTAAAGAAGACATAAAAATCCCTTAACTTGCCATTTTCGAATACATGTTAAGCTTGTTAGAAGCATTGCCATTTTGGTATTTTGTCCCTTTATGGGACTTAAGATATTTGAAAGAGATCTCCAGGTTTTTGGGTGTAGATCCCTGAAGGCCCAAGGGCTTAAAAATTAAAGTGGCAGGTGAACAGCTGAGTAACCCCTCTGCTCCAGAAGGCCTAGTAATACCAGTTTACACTGGGATATTACTGTTATGAAAACCCTGTGTGATATTATAAAGCACCGCAACCAAATTCAATAATTATTATAGGTAAACCCTGTAAACATAAATATATTCGGTTGCTCAGTTGGCTCCTAAGGGCTAAGGTGAGGACAGAGGGAGGCACCGATGCCAAAAACAATGACAAGAACAGATGTGTAAAAGTGTCTACAATGTTTCTCATCTTCTTTTCCTCTTTCCAGCAGAAATTCCATCCAAACACAAGAAAGAAGCAGGCCCAGGGGCTTAGAGATGATAGTAAGTGTTACCATTTATTAAGCATTCACTAGGTAAAAGACACTTAACAGATCCTATCAGCTGTTTCACAAACCTGCAAGGTAAACATCCCCATTTTAAATAGAAAGCACGCAAGGCTCAGAGTGACAGCGATATTTGCCAAAGGTTGCCCAGCAAGTGGCAGAGAACAGGATTTGAATTTCTGTCTGGCTGCCTTCCACGCTCTTGTTCTTTCCATTAAACCATGTTCTTACGTAATAAAGGACAAAATGTCCTGTTTTCCATTTTGTTACCCAAAAATTCCACTTAAATAACTTGCCAAACCGTCTCTCTCCCCACCCCCAACATTGTTATGCTGGACTTACAAGGTTGCAATGAGGAAACTGTTTTGATCGGGGAAAATAGATAGAGTCAAAGCCTATGGATTCTCACATGCTAAATATTTAACAGAAAGAGAAGACAGAGATGGAAGTGGATGGCTTCTGTGTTCCAAGAGCAGACACGGGCAGAATTTCTCTGCTATAGGAAATGGTATAATTCTACGGGAAGATTTGAAAATCATCCTAGATCTCGTGCTTATTTCATTATACTATTAACGTGCAGAAGCATTACTCACGGAGCTAATTTTCAATCTCAAACAGCTACCCTGAAACCAGAGGCAGGCTAAGGAACAGACTCCTAGCTGATTACAGAAAAGTGGCTCCATAATTAGAAATAACTCCATCCAAGGGCCCCTTTTAATACTATGCCAATTTGCCTACATTTACCAAATGTAGGTAAATAAAGGGCATTCAATGCAATTTTCTCTTTACCTGGATGTCTTCTCCCTTTTTCTTCATTTAAGAACCACAAGTATTTTTCTTACCTATTTCTCATCTATGTGGATCTCAAATTCATTCAACACACACTCATTAGAGAAGCTACTGCAAGGCAGGCTGAAGGCTTTGGTACTGAGGATACACAGCTGAATAAAACTGTGCCCTGCAGGGGATCGTTGAGGCCCCGAGGGCAGACAGGCTGAGCTTCAATCCCAGCTTGGCCCTTTCATGGGCTGAGTGCTACAAGCATCCTTCTTCAGGTGTAAAATGGTGATAAGACACATCTTTATTTCAGGATTGCAATACGTATTAGAAATAAAGAACTTTAAAGCTCTGGCAGAGAGTAGTAGGTGCACAGTAAATGTAAGGCTGGATTCTTATTCTAGAATGGTGGTTCTCCAAGTGGGTTCCCCAGACCAGCAACATCAAAATCACCAAGGAATCTGCTAGAAATGCAAGTTCCTGGATCCCACCTAGACCTACTACATCAGAAACTCCGAGGGCCAGCCATCAGTTTTTAACAAGATGACCAGGTGATTCTGATACATACTGAAATGTGAGACCCACTGGTCTAGAAGAACATGCGCCCTGGCGGGAAGGCGGACAGGTGGAAAGTATAATTCGTTGTGAAATGGTGGACTATGGAAAGAGTTAACTGCCATTAAAACACTCGCTGTCATCAGGTTTTCAAATGTTTCAGGCTTGCAGATTTGTTGCTTCAGTTAATTATAACAAAGAAAACCTACACCTGACAGGGAGGTTATAGAAATGAAAGAAGGGACCATTATTATTATTATTATTATTTTTAAAAAAAGCAAACAAGAAACATGACCTTCTCAGGCTTCCTTTTATTTTTAGAGTTTTGATGAAAAGTGAGTGCAGACATATTACTTGACTGTAAAAACAACATCCGTGCAAAAGTGACCATAGGGGCCAACTAGCTTTCAGCCTCCAGGCAGAGCAGTCATAAGGAGTGGTGAGGGCGGCAGCCAGCTCAGGAGCATGTGCTGGATCTAAAGGCAGTAGCAGCTACTTAGATCTAGCTGTGCAGAAATGTGGGTGCGGATCTTTTGATTTCAAAGGTGAGGAGAGACATCTGGATCAATATTTGCTTATATTTAAAATTCACTGGCTTTTAATTATTGGCTCACATTTAAAGAAAACAATCACAAAATACCCAGTATGCATACTAAATTGAAATATTTGCACTGTTTGAGATTCTGAGCCAGGGATGTTGTTTTATTTATTTATTTTATTTTTTTACAGTGTCCTACCTTGCCTCCTCCACTCCCCTATTCCGCTTCCCCCAGCTTTCTTTTCAAAGGCCTAGTCCAATGCTAAATCATCAGTAGTTTCTTAACGGAGACTTCCCCCTAGCATCAGAAGAGTCTTAACTATGTCTTTGGGCTCCTCAAGTGGTTCTGCCAGCTAAGAATAAAAGCACTAAAGTGGCTTACTTTTCTGCCTATAGGAGCATACCGAACCTCAATATTATCTTGTCAGATCTCAGATATTTTAAAAATTTTGTAGTTGAATAACATTTAGATTTAACATATAAGGAGGGATCGAGGTGAAACAATCATGTGTTAATGATCTATCTGGCACATGATAACAAAATAATGCACATCAGTTTGCAGCAACTATATGTGAAAGTGCTTTGCAAACTAATCATGGTCCTAACAGTTACCATTTAACAGTGTGTGTTCTGTGGAGACACCCTGCTAAGCATAGTGCAGAGATTATATGTTTCCATCCTCGCATGAATTCTACAGGGTGGGTGCCATTAGTATCTCCATTTACAGGCAACCAAGGCTTGAGGAAGGTAAGTGGCTTGTTTAAGGTCCTGTAGCAGTGTGGGATGGACTTTGGATTTAGATCTAGGCCATCTACCTGCAGAGATGAAGCTCTCAACTTTCATCTTGGAAAAGTACTTTATGAATATTAGACAATATTACCTTTAAGGGAAGCATCTGAAATAGCAATTACAGATCAAAAACAATAATGATAGATCCAGTGAAGATTAGTGTTTGACGAGAATTGTGTAGGTTCCATAAAACATTGCCAATTCCTTCCTGTGTTGTGCTTCATCAGAATGATGATGAAATTAATATACTACATCTGTCACCTATAGGTGGCAACAGTTGTACAGATGACTTTTTGGTGGATTTTTTTTTTTTTTTAACTGCACTTGGGAATAAAAGTAGGACTAAACAGGCAAGATGAAAATACATTTTCAAGTTTAAATAAATAGCTTTGCATGTTCTTAAAATATTTTCCTGCCTTTAGTGTAACCATGGAATTATTAGTGATAATTCGAGCAAGAAGTATATAGTGATATATTCTTCAGAAATCTCTTGAGAATTAGACCTTTATTAATTTAACTCCTTGTAGTCAAGCAGTCATTCAATCAAACCTATCTACTATGTGACTAGCTTTGTGCAAATACTCTTGTGGTCTTGATTCTCAGAGGAAGTTTTATAGAAGAGGATGCTCTTGGAATGGTTTTGAAGGGCAAATAGGATTGAAATATACAGCAAGGAGGAGGGAGGGCATTCCAATAAATATCCATCTATTATGCCCCTATTGCATCTGTACAACACTGTGTAGTATACTTCAGGACCAGGAGTTGCCCAGAGGGTAATCCTCCCTTTGGGGATTCTGTAGTAGACAATTAATCACTATAAAGAGAAATAGAGACATGCCTACCCCAAGAGGTTCTAGGAAACTCAACCAGACTCATGAAAGTATCAGCCAGTATGTGGGTTATAAAAAGCTTTGACTTCCAAACCACGTTCTCATCTATGATCTCACTTTGCTCTTCCATCAGCCTGGAAGGTCAGGGTGGCCAGAGTCAACTGTACTTTCCATGTGATATTTATGGAATCTGTGATTCACACAGATTCAAATCCAAGTGAAATTAGGCCTGAAAACTTAGTTTTCTGATTTTTCACACAAAAATTCACAGCAGCTTTTTTTCCCCTAACAGTTCACAATAGTCATGAAGTAGAGATTTCTGACTAGAGCAATATCCTGAACACCAAGAAGGATAAAACTGGAGGAGATATGGACCCTTGCCATAAGGAAGAGGTGGAAAACATATAAGGTGATACAGAAAAACTCAAGTGATAAACTAGCAAAAAATATATGCATGATGGTATCAGCTTCAAAGAGATTCATGTTATGTGTATACAGCCAGAAACTCCTGTCCATGGTAGAGGAGAACAAGCAGCAAATTCATGAAATAGTGCAATCAATTATTATTCTATGATAAATGCTACT